CAGAGGCCCTGGCCTTCCAGTGGTGAAGGGTTCCCCCACCCAGCTCCCAGCACAGTCCCAGGGCCCCCTTTCCTCCCAAAAGCCAAGTCAGTGGACTTTGCAAACAGTGTCTGAAGTCAAGCAGGTGATCATTTCCTGTGTTTATTGGCAGGAGTCCAGGAGGACTCCATGGAGGGTCCTCATGAGCTTTGCACCTCAAAGTGTCAGGTTAAAGGTCAAGCTGTGGCCTCCCATGAAAGTCTCTTTCAGAATCTTGCCTGAGACCTATGCTTGGTCTGCCCTGTGTTTTCTCCACTTGATTCATATAACTCTTTTCATTTTAAAAACTATATCATAGAATTGGCTTTTCCAAGAAATCTCTCAGAAACTCAGATCCATCTTCCACCCTCCTATAAGTTGGTTTTGTTTTCTCTTATTTCCCTTCTGGAGCCTGGGATGAAGTCTACCAGCAGGAGCAGGTGCAGGAAACTCCCCTGGTGCCTCCAAAAGACCTTGTACGATGTAAAATGCACAGGACTTGTCTTGTCTCCTGTTGTAGGTGGGTGTTCCTGGTGGACTGCAGATCTAACATACAAGTCGGCACAGAGACAAATTCAATGCCAAGCGCTTCCTGCCTAGGTACACAAGTGTCAGTGCCAGGAACCCTTTTCCCCTCTCGTTTTCCCTCAGTTAGTTTTCTCTCCACTCACACTTGGCCATACACGCTCAGGTCATGGTTTGGGCAGCAGCAGCCAACAGCTAGATGAACAATACACCAAATCATTTTCCTCTAAAATAGCTGGCAGGAGGAAAAGGAAATTCCAGTTTGTTTCCTTTATCCAGAGCAAGCAGTTAGGATAAGAAGCTTCAGTTCCAAAGGCCCCTTTACTGTGACAAGAGAGTGAGTTGACTCACCTGTCCTTGATTTTACAGAATCAAACAGAACATTTCATAGAAGCTGAAATGTTTTCCACAAAGAACTAGCTTACGCTTTAAGTGTTAGGTTGACCAATATGGTGCTTATGATGGTGTTTTCTTTCCTCCTGGAATGTACATGGCAAATCTGGACGGCTGGAGCAGGGCCAGCCGTGTAGCTGTGTGTGTCATGTCATGCGGGGCAGGGAAGAGCGAACTGGAAAGTGCAAAACGTCAGTGGATTCGACTCGTGCTGCCAAGCGAGAGTCGCCTCCAAATATTCCCCACACCTGCATGGAATTAATTCCAGTTCCCTATGTGGATGGGAGAGAAATCATGCACTTAATCTATGTCACATGTCTCGGAAAGATTCCAGACAGACACCAGCCTGGAGTGAGAAATGTGGGGTTTTCGGTGACTAATGGTTGAAGGATAACATTTCTGTAGTTTCACAAAACAGAATGAAAGCCGGGTTGGGGACCTTGCTTTAAAGGAAATCTTGAAGGAATCCCTTCTGTAGACATTCACAGCTGTGGGGGAAAAGACACAAGCATGTAGAAATATCTTTTCTCTGATCACAAGTTCTGTTAGAGACAGTCCCAGTTTCATACGGTGAACAGGTGGGCTGCTTAGAGAAAGGAACAAAAAACTTCAGTACAAAGGAATGCAGAGGGCAGATGCCTACAGGCGCTATGAATAACTGTAGTGTGCATGCAAATATTCAGTGTTGGTGCTTGTTTTCATAAGGGCGTATAGCTCTCATTAGGTTCTCAAATAAGTCACAGTCCAGAAAAGTTTAGGGTGTATCCTCTGCCTGGCACCAATGTCAATCCAAAACAGGCCAGAAAACCATGGAAAAGACAGAACTGTCAGCAGTCAACAAAATTAACTGAAAAAATTATATGTATATCTTAACTGATACAGAAATGGGAAGGCTTGAAGCATAGAAGGTATGGGAGAATTCACACGAGGAAAGAATAATAAATGTACTATTCAAAACTAGAGTTCATCTCATGCCAGAAACCTAAATAAAATTACAATAAATTACACAAGTTATATTTAAAAAGAAGCATATAAACCAGCAAGGAAAACCATACCACTCAAACAAAAAACAAAGCACAGGATAGGAAGAAATATCTACAGAACACAGTTAGAGGAGGTATGCAGAGCTGGCTCGAGCTGGCTCATGACAGCCAGCTCCCTACTCCTTGGGCATGTTGTCACATAAACAGCTGGAACAATTGGATGTGCTGGGAGAGATTAGCTGTAAGTCAAGACTTTTCTTTTTTTAAAGAGTTTATCAGTACATTATAGATTACTAGACATAAATAGTTTGAGTGTAGCAGTAATCAAAGAACTACAAAAGGAAATGAGGTCTGGACAAGGTGGGATAATCATATTCCTCCTGCTAATTACGAAAAGCCTGGACAAAATTCATAAAACAAATGATGAAAGACTGAGAGTTGAAGAAAGAAAGTAGAACTAGCCAGTGATGAGTCTGTGTGTGTGTGTGAACGTGTACTCGTGCACCAGAGCCCCAGGTAAGCTATATAAAGGGAAAAACGACATTAGCATACTCAACCTGAAAATAACTAAGTGGCATACAGAAATAAAAACCAACCCAAGAAAATCCTCCCCTCTGTAGCCAAAAGGCTGGAAAAAGGTTGGTACAGAAAGACCAAAAGATTTTGACCACCACAGAGTTCAGAGAAGGGGAATACAGTTTTAAAGTGTCAAAAGGGGAAAACAGTCAACCCAGAATTCTATATCCAGCAAAAATATCCTTCAGGAATAAAGGTGAAAAATATCCTCTGATGAAGGAACTAAGAAAATGTTACCAACAGACTTGCTTAAAAGAACAGTGAGAGAAAGTTTATCAGGCAGAAAGACAACAATATCAAAGAAATTTGGAACATCAGGAATGAAGAAAGAACAGAAAAGCTAAATCTATGAGTAAATGCAGTGGACTCTTCAGAGTCCATTATGCTTGGCTGAAAGCAAAAATTACGTCATCTGAAGAGGATCTCAGGATACATAAAGGCAATATTTAAGAAATCTATGTCATAAGAAAAGGCAAAGGGATGTATTAGCTGGTAGTTTCTACATTGAACCTGAAGCGATAAAGCATCAACACTAGGCTGTGATAACTTATGACCGTATACATGTATGGTGTTTAGAGCAGTGGTTTTCTATGGAGGCAATTCTGTCCTTCATGAGACAGCAATGTTTGGAGACATGATTGCAAATGATATTGCTGTGTAGTCGGTAGGGGCCAAGATGCTACTATTACCTCTCACAATGCACAGGAAAGTTACACAGCCCAAGATGTCAAAATGCTGAGGGTGGGAAGTCTTGCCACACAGAAACGATATATAAAACTGTACAAAGACACATGCTCAACGACATTATAGATAAATCAACATGGTATACTGGAAACATTCAACCAAACCATAGGAGTGTAGGAAAGGGAGCACGGTGAAATAAAAATCAGAAGGAAAAAAGAAAACCTAGCAGTAGACTTAAATCCTAATATAATTGAGTTGAATGTAAAGGATCTATTAAAAGAAAGTGACTGGATGAGACATACATGATCCAACTATGTGCTGTGTAAAAGGAACTCTTTTTAAATATAATGCCATATGTGGACTGAGGGTAAAAGGGTGGGAAAAGACCTAATTTTCAAATACTAATTAAAAAAACCTACTGTGGATGTATTAATATCAGATAAAGTAGACTTTAGAACAAAGATGACCAAAGCTAAAGAGAGCCAGTTCATAATGATGAAAGGGATCTCACCATTCACAAAGAAGATGCAATAATCCCAGCTATGTGTGTCACAAGCAACAGAGATTCAACATACTCAAAGCAACACAAGTATAGTTGGATACTTCTCAGTAACTGATTGGACTACTAGACAGAAAGAAAATAGGGGTGTTACATTTTACCTGTCAAACTGGCAAAGCTTTGAAATGTTAGCATTTGGTACTGGCAAAGTCATAACAACACAATAATAATATGGAATCAGAAATATATATGATAGTCCTGAACAAATAGTTAACTTTTATGAGAATTTAGATGGCCAGATGATTTTCAACCCAATACTTCACTTTTAAGAATGTCTCTAAGGAAATAATTAAAGAGGTTCAAAATTTGTCTATCTAAATCTTCATAGCAAAAACTTGAGACATTCAAGCACGCCCATTCATTGGCAAGGGCTTCAGAAACTATTCTATATTCCAGCAGAGTGCTATTGTAAAATAACATCTTATAGGGTCTATAATGCCATGGTATGTGGGAATGACTCTGGGGAAAATGCAGTTTATAAAGCTGAATACATAGAGAATAAATTAGGTGAAAGCACATATACAAAACATATACAAATACAAATATGCAAAAATTTCTAGAAAAATATACCAGTAGCAGTAAACAAAATTACTCTTTGGGCTTCTCATTTCTTGTCCCCTCCTCCCAGGTATCCTATTGGGAAATGTCACATTTGCTGTCAAAACAAGTTGCTACTTTCAAAAGCAGCATAAAAGTAGATGTACAAAAAGTACACAAATGAGTGCTAAGTCGAGGCCAAACTTAGATAGGTGGTGAAATTTTCGTAATTAGTTTTTTCCAGAAGCATTCAATACTTACTTTTTATTTATCTCTCTCTCTTTTTTTGGTGATACTGGGGTTTGAACTCAGGGCATCATCCTTGCCAGACAGACACTCTACCCCTTGAGCCACTCTGTCAACCCCACTGTAATTAATTTTGAGGCTAAAAAAATGCTAAGCAAGTATAACTGTTATTATCCTTACAGAGACCATCTGTCTTGGATCAATATATTGCATCTTACTATTTCAAACACTGTACTAATGCCATGTGCAGTTATCTCATTTAACCATCTGCAGCACTGGGGTTTGAACTCAGGGCCTCATGCTTGCCAGGCAGGCACTCTACCACTTGAGCCACTCTGCCAGCAGCCACCTGAATAGCTGAATTATCTCCATTTTATAGAGGCTCTGAGAAGTTGAACAACTTGCCCAAGTTCACACATTAGCAAGCAGCAGGGTCTGGATTTGATCACCATCCTCTCACATCAGCACTGGAGGCATACCTGGGCCTGTCTGAGTCCAGGGTTGGCGGGCAGGGGTCTGGCAGGGCCGCTGGGTGCACGTGGGGCCTGGTGGAGGGGCAGGAGCACTCGCTGAGGTGACTGGGGCTGAGGGACAGCACGGGAATGGAGGGGTCTGCTGATGTCAACACTCTGACAGTGCGGTGACCTCCTGTCCTGTGTGGTCAAAGCAGAGAGGCAGGCTGTAAAGAGTTTCAAAGCCAGTCTGTGATCACTGAAGGTGGGGGAGTGTGCGGAAAGGTGGGAGAGGATGTTATTATTTACACTTCGAAGTTCCAACAGAAGTATACCTCACCCCAAATCTGGAATAGAGAGGTAGGTTTTTTATTTAGATGAAAAAAAAAAAATGGCTTAGCCAGACCTGGCAGCAATTATAATTCTAGCACAGAGGAGGCTGAGGCTAGCCTGGGCTACACAGTGAGACCCCATCTCAATAAAAAAAGCAAGGAAACCAACAAAACTGGTTTCATTCACAAAGGTGCAAGACTTGTGATGAAGTATCAAGAACGAAGACACAGCCCCCGAAGGCAAGGATGGTGTGAAAACAAGTCTCTCTCTCTGTCTTTATAGCAGTACTGGAGTTTCAACTCAGATTTGCACTTGTGAAGTAGGTGCTCTACAGCTTGAGCCATCCCTCCAGCCATTTTTGCTTTGGTTAGTCTGGAGAATAACCAGGCTGGCCTGGACCTGTGGTCCTCATATTTTAAGCTTCCTGCTGTTCCTGGGATGACAGGCAGACACCATCATGCACTGCTTTTTTTCCATTGAGCTGGGGTCTCACAAACTTTTTTGCCTGGGCTGGCCTAGAACTACGATCTTACTGATCTCAGCCTCCCAAGTAGCAAAGGTTATAGGCTTGAGCCACCAGCAACTGGCTCTTCCTTTTCTTTTTAAGAAGAGTTTTATTAAGATCTAATCAACATTCGATTAACTGCACATACTTAATGTACAAAATTTGGTCCTTTTTGACGGATTTTTTTTTTCGAGTTAGCATTTCACTATGTAGCCCAAGTTATCCTTGAACTCATGATCCTCCTGCCTCAGCCTCCTGAGTGCTGGGATTACAGGCATTTACCACTGTGCCCAGCTTGACTGTGTATACCCATGAAGCCATCAGAACATATACATTTAGTTTCCCTGTTACCTTTGTCTCTCCCCAACTTTGCCCCCTGGAATCTGACTACCATGGATCCACTGCAAATTAGTTTGCATGTCTTAATATTGGATAGAAATGGGATCAGAGTATGTAGTCCTTTTTGTTTGGTTTCTTTTGCTCAGAATAACGATTTTGAGATTTACCCCCAGTGTTATGTATGTCACTGGCTGCTTCCTTCTTATTGCTGAATGGCAATCCCTTGTGTCAATATTCTACAGTTTGCCCTTTTACCTGTTAATGAACATTTGGACCATTTCACATTTTTGGCTCTTAATCTATATTTAAGATTAAATAGAGCACAACATTTTCCACTGACAATGCACGCTGTTCTTACTTGTGGTTCCAGGACTGAGGAGAACAGTAATAAAACTTACCAGGGATGATGGTTGCCCTGTTGGAAGCCCACCCTCTACTATTGCATCACTGGAGGTTAAATGGCATATTGTCTACTTAATATATGATAATTTTTTCAATCATTTCTTGACATCTGTCTCTTCCATTACAATTTGGTCATTTCGTTGAATGAATTTTTGTTAGTCAGACATTGCATCACTGTGACAAAATATCTGACAAGAACAACTTAAAAGGAGGAAAATTTTATTTTGGCTTATGGCTTCAGTCCATGGTTGCTTGGCCCCAGGTGCTTGGGTGGAACATTATGGTGGCAGGAGCGCGTGGCAGAGGGTTTCTTCACCTCATGGTCGACAGGATATTGAGAGGGAAGAAGGGACCAGGCACAACCTCCAAAAGCATGCCCCTGGGACCTACTTTCTCTAAGTAGGCTCCACCTGCTAAAATTCATACAACCTCCCAAAATAGCACCACATGAATCTATGAGGCACATTTCAGATTCAAACCATGACAGAGTTCAATATTCAAGAATTCTTGTGGATATACCAAAAAAACTTGGTAGTGAAACCTAAATATGACTGTGAACTCGCACAGTAATTCGTCAGGGTAGCAGGAACACTGAGGCAGTAGGGAGCCATGAGGTACTTATGGTTAAGGATCCAGCTCTTCCACAGAGTTCAGGGGACAGAGCTTCCACAGCCCTGAGATGGAGAAAAACAGGCAAAACTGAGGCTCAGTGAGACTCTCAGAAGTCCTCCAGGAGTAACAGTGGACCAGAGACGCTCACTCAAACCAAGCCGGTGGCCTTTGGGAACTGAGGGGGGCCCAGTGTCAGGACATCAGGAAGCTGCTCAGGGTGCAGCCCTGATGGGCCTGGAGTGCAACCAGGGTGATTAGAGGGATTGTGGTTTACAATGCAGCATACACCATGCCACGTGTGGACATGCACTGGCCAGCAAGTAGATGTAGTAGAGCTTGCAGTGGGTCACTGCGGGGCCTCCCTGGATCCCCAGACTGTCACAGCGATGGGCCTGAAGCAAAGGTGCTGACTCACTCAGTGTCTCACAGGAGGAAGCCAGGATCCTGTTCCCACTCAACCCTGCATGGTAAAGCTGTGCTGTAAGTGCAACAGTAAGTGCTGTGTTGGGCCAGTTTACCTTGCATGCGCTGGAATGTGGTGGCCTGCTCATCAGGCCTTTTCTGAGGTGGGTGGGGAGAGCCTGCCCAGGCCGGGAGCCACTGGATGGCCGAGAAGGACGCACACATCTGCAATGCAACCCCAAGTGTTAACTGATGGTGGTTTCCCTTTTGGCTTAACTTCTCAGATTGTCCTTCTATTGATGGCCAAAATATAACTTGATTATCTTAACTCAGTGTGATAAATATGCAGAGAAAAAATGATCTAATACTCTGAGATGCACAACAAATACTGATGTTTGCCTCCCTGCCCAAGCCATTGTTCTACCAAATTAGTTCTTGCATCCCATAGAAATGCAGCCTTGTGACACGTGGCACATGGATTTTTTTTGGGTGAAGCAATAGTGTCACTGAAGTAGACCTGGACCACAAGCTACCCTGTCTGAAAAAAAAAATGTCAGTGTCCTCAGGTCCTGCGAAAATTACTAATGCAAAGGTGGGAGAAAGCATACCGGTGGACTCCACCCTGCTTAGTCATTTAACAAGCAGCACAGAGTTTGAAGGGAAAGAGAAAGAGGCACTGGTCTGGCAGAAATTGACAAACACAAAACAAAGTGAAAAGATCCAGTCTTAGGATCCAGAAAGTCTGCTGCTTTCTTTGCTAAGGACAACGATGTGAGAAGAGGTTTGTTGGAAGTTCCTTCCACCATCATTTCTCAAAAAGGATGACAAACCAAGTTCAGAGCACCTGAGCTTCTCCATGGTGGTTTTTTTGTGTGTAGACAGCAGTCGTATCAAGGTCTTCCTTTTGAGATAAATCACAAATCCAGCAGCGAGGAGACACAGGGTGCTCACCAGAATTCCTATAGTCAAGCCTTGGTTATCTGAAAGAAAACACGTTGGCTCACGGAAGGAGGCAGTTGTAATAAAATACAGGAGACATCTCATCCTGACATTTACGGTGGAGCAAACTTTGAAGGAACAAACAGAAACAGAGCGAGTAAATCCCCGGATGATGTGCTAATAAATTAGTCTTACTTCAAAGGTCGTGTTTGAGGTTCACTCCACGTGCAGGAGCACAGTCTGGTAGGCGGGACTTTGGCTGGACCACACTGAACATGACAACAGCAGAGTGAACTGTGTGGCCACAGAAAGGACCTTGGAGCCATCACTAAAGTCTCATCAAGATGGGAGATCCCCACAGTACAGTCTTCCTGTCCTCTCCACAAATCTGCTACACCCAACTCCTCCTACTCTTAGTACTGGCGTCTGCTTTTACCTTTCCTATTATTTTGTAAAAAAACGACTCTATTTCTGGACTCTATTTCTGAGAGAGGGAAAGAGACAAATCATGGCTTAAGTAAAATGCCCCTGGATTTGGTTTTGTTACATTAGGGACTTAATGATATAGCCTTTGGCGGTGAACCCCTTTCTCTGGGAGGATGCTGTTTATTTTCTATATGAAAATGTCAAATTTTCTGGTGATTTGATCCCCTTTTAGTTCGGCACATTCAAGGGGCTTGTCAAGGGTGTAGAAAGGAAGGAGGCAGGAACCATCAGGTTGGTTTCTGACTGCAGGCTGTCTGGGGACCCAAGATGCTAGAAATTAGAGGAGATTTATTTAGGTTTCATCCAGACTGTGAAGTCTTCAAGAGCAGGGACCTCAATTCTCTTTTCCCACTGGCAATAAGCAGTGTATGTGTTACAAAGTAGGTGCGTAGCCCTCTGTTCAGGCTGCTGGTGACAGTCACAAAGGTGGCTTCCACTTCCCAGGTTCTCCCCACCCTACTGCCTCCCCTCAGTGCTCAGCAGCCTGCAGGTCTGAGTGGCAGCAGCCCTACTCTGGGAAGAATGCCTTTGTACCTCGTTTCTGGACTTTCTCCCCAAATGACAAGTCCTACCAGGGGCATCTGTGACAGCCTGGATTCACTTGCTAGTGAGACTGGAAAAGCATAACTTCTGGTTTCCTGGCCAAAATGTCATTCTTTTCAGACTCTTAGTGGTGATTAGGGCTCCAGCCAGATCTCTGTTGTTTCATAGCAAAACTGAATCAAAAGTGAACAGCAAAGTCTTAAATCATAATTTCTAGTTTCTTAAAATCCATAAATCTTAAACCGATATATTTATCCAATCAAACACGAGGTCCCCAAACTGTACTTGGTGCACCACAGGGTTACAGTGCCATCCACCAAACTGCCTGAAAGACCCAGGCAGTGATGGAGTCACATGTCCTGTGGAGCTGGCTCCCTGTATCCCCTTCCTCAGCCACTGTCACCCTACCCTGCCCTGCCCTACACTGGGTCCTGGCACAGCTAGTGCTCTGTGCTTAGAACATGCTTTTCCCCACCTCTGCAGACCTCAGCAGGTACATCAAGGTCTCTGGGAGCCTTCTGATACCCTATACCCACACTCCTGAGCCTGGGGGTGTTGCTCCCCTCTCAAAACACCCTCTCTTTCCCCATCCTGGCCACATGATATCTACTTAAAGCCTCTCTAGGACCCAAAGAGTAACTGAACAGAACTTGCTGAATGAGTGTCTGAGTCATGGTAAGGTCAGTGAACAGCAGGCCACAGGGACAGTAAGGCCAAGACATGGCAGCTCACACCTGCCTCTTTCTGGTGCATGTTTGCCAGGAAGTATTTGCAATGTACCTCCTTCTATAAGATGATGCAACCATAGGAGGCACTTGCTTTCTAGGGGTTTTTATTCTTAACGCTTCTACTTGGTGCAGAGGAGAGTGGGCGGCTCTGTGGGTTCCTCAACTTTTGGGAAACTCTAAAGTCTGAGTACACTATGTACTCACTATCATACACTGTGTGCACTGTTGTCCACAGCAGAGAGAGAGGCAGAGCATGTGCTCCTCTCCAGCCCCTTTGGATGTCCCTGGGTTGGCTTGAATGGAGACAGGATAGGTGGCAGGGCCCTTGATGGATTAGTAACTAAACAGCACTGAGTTTGTAAGATAAACCCTGGAAGTCCTATTAGAATAGTGAGTTGCAGCAGGAGGCTGGTTGTCAAGGCTGGGACATCATGGAGGAAAGAGGACACTGGGCCAAGTTCTTACTTCTGCAGCCCCGCAATGGATGCGCAACCATAGGTAAGGCTTTCTGGTCCTTTCCTACTCACTGTATTTAAGGGAAGGGTGACGAAGAACTCCTGCCCTTCCTTTCACAGCATCTGCACATGTGCCTGCAAGATTGGCCATCCCTCCTGAGTCTTGCACTGTCTGCCTGGCCCCGCAGAGCTAGTGTTGTGTCTGTTGTCATGGAAACAGTGGCAAAGCCACAGACTCCACACTGCCAGTCACAGCAGGTTTTGGGGATGTATGACTCCTCTGCTGCGGCACTGGTCATGGTCTAAGCGTCACCAGGGGCTCGATGGGCTCCAGTGGAGGCCAGGCCACCTCCTTCAATCCCTACCCGCTCCCCAGCGGCGCCCCCTACTGGCGGTCTGCCATTTTTTGCTTTGCTTCTTTCACTATAAGAGGGACATTCTTCTCATTTGCTCCTTAATCTTCCGACAAGAACACAGAGACTGCAGCTGGGCACAAGAACATTTCCAAAGGTCACCCGAGGAAAAAAGAACTGAGGGCTCAACACAGCTGCTATCAAGAGCTTCTCTGGGGATAGACTTGCATCTCAATCCTAGCTGTGTGACTTTGGGCAACTGGACTTCCCTGCACTTGGGTCTTCTCATTGTAATACTTGCTTCAGAGCTGAGTAAGGAACAGATGACAGAACACACAAAACCCTGCCTGCATGTGACTGCTCAAGACACCCAGCCACCATGACACTGCAGCTGCTGCCACCGTTATCTTCATTAAGAAGCAGCAGTCTTTCTGGCCAGCGTTTTAAAAGGCATTCAACTTCATACACTTCACGGTGGCCACACACAGAGGCTGGCCTTTGAAAAGACCTTTGAAACAACGAAGTGCATACTCGTCTGGCAGTTTGTGGGGACCCTGCCTTAGCTGAGAAAAGTGTCACAGGCTGAGAATCTCAAACTCTGCCCTTCAGCCACAGCAGAGAGCAAGGGGGTGTTGGAAAGGCCAGGTGACAAGGAAAGAGTGTTGGGCACTTGGTAGAGGCCTCAGGCTGGGTCAGGGCCACACAGGCCCCACCCCCTGCTGGTGGGGCCACACCCACAACCACATTGAGTGCAGGTGAGCCGACCCTGTCCGCCATCTCCAGCAGCTGGGTGCCCACCTGGCAGGGATGCAGGGCTTTACTCACCTGCTTGCCGGATGGGTCCACTGTCTGTACTTCCTCCAAAGCCAAACTTGTCACAGAAGGGAGGTGCCCAGTGGGCTTCACAGTGGCAGTTCTTCCTGTTGTTGCACACCTTTGGGGGTAGCAGGGGAGAAAGACATCCAGAGGAAGCAGCATTAGGGGGTGCCTTCCGCATGGGGTGGTGGTGAATCTTTGAGCCCTAACTGAGTGCCATAGCAAAAGCAAGGGCACTGTGGGCTCAAGCCCCACCAGCACCCAACATTCAGATTCAGTAAACATCCTGTGAGAAGCAGTTCAACACAGCACCACACAGGTGAGACAGAGTCTGAGGCTGTGAGTGAAAGCAGCTGCAGGCATTATTAAGCCTCCCCAGCAACCTTCCCCTCTTCCTCTTCGCATCTCCCTGTCCTTCCTTCTAATTCGGGAACCACCCTCCCACCCCCACCCCGTGCCTGAGATGAGAAGTCCTCCAGTGGTGAGGATGGACCTGCTTCAGGGACCAGGAATCAGACCACTGGGCATGGTAGGACCTAAGAAGTTAAGGGCACACCCCTGCCTCCTTTACACAGGAGGTGCTGGGAGCCACACTGGTCCTGGTCCATCAGCAGGTAGGGGTAGACTGACAGTGTGCCCCTGCATCCTGATGCCCACAAAAGCATGCAAGGGTTCCACTAACATTCCTCAAGCCTGCTCTGATAGCTCATTCCTGAAATACCACTTCGCCATTCTCTGGCTTTCCATCCTGCGTAATGGGCAAAGACAATGAACTCTCCCTCGGGCAATAAGAGAGTGGTACTAGTGTGGCAAGAACAGAGTGTGGCGAAGACAGGAGGAGGCTGTTCTTGCTCTTTTTGGGCCCTGAACAAGCATCCTGATGGGAGACCAGTGTCCTCCATGGAAGGGCCTCGGAGAGTGCGTGCTGCCTTGCCAAGGGTCACTAATGGTGGGCTCACTATTGACACATATGCAACTTACTGAACTAGTATATAGGACAATGGAATACCAGCAGGAAGACCTAATGCTATGAATTAGGTTGAGTTTTTGAGAACACTGGATAAAGGCAAGTCACTAAAAAAGGATTTCTGACATATTAGGAATGGGTTAGACAAGTATAAAATGACTGGGAAAAGCTGCACAGGACAAGGGGACCATGTACCCAGATGACAGCCGAGTGTCTTAAGTTTCCTCTCCACTTAAAGAAACAAACTTAAGTCTCAGGTGAAGAATTTCTGGGCAGTTTCTATGTAGAAGTCAGAGTGGAACTACAGTTAGTAAACCAACCCTAGTAGTCCTCCTCAAAAACATTGGTGCCAAATTTTTCCATATTTTAAGGCAAAATAAGACATTTGGAGCACATGTCTCACTTTGATGGCTTCCTGCTTTATCTATCTTTTCTGAAGAATCTGACCAGCTGCCCCCATTTCTTCAGATTTGAAGGCCAGCAGTCAAGAGAGCTTGTGATGAGTAGGGCAGTGTCTTTCTATGAAGCTATGATTGAGCAGGATTCCTCAGCCTGTGGCTGAGCCTGTGCGGATCTGAGCATCTTGGCTGGTCCCTCGAAGGTGCTGGTATGGACATACCACATGCTGCATTCTCACACTGCCCTGCCTGGTCTCCCACTGCAATGTATACCTTTTTGGGGTGTCTTGGCGGAGAAACTGCAGTTGACACCCTGCTTAGAAGTGCTACTTCTGAGCCTGGCCTCATCCCAGAGGCACCAAGACTGTGCTACTTGTCACCCGGTCATAGCAGTTGTTCCAGAACATGTGACCCTTTGCATTCCAATAAGTGCTAGAGGCCCCAGGGATCTTAGAGCAGGAGGGTCCCACAGTGCCCCCGCTGCTTGCTGCTGACTCCCCCAACCTCCCACCCATGCGGACCTTGCTTCATCAGTAAGACAACAGAGCTGGACTAGTTTGTCTCTTGCAGTCATCAAAAATAAACCTATGATCCAATGACGGCATAGAGAGATTCCATTTCATATCAGCTAAACGCAGCCCCAACAGGCTCATCTGAGGTGGCCCTGGAACCCATGATGGCTACTGCACAGTGGTGATTTTTATGAAAACACCCATCATCCCATGTTTGAATCACTGGCGAGTGTCTGGAAGTTTTAAAAATAGAGTTTATAATTTAGGGCATGATTTTTTTGTAGAGAAGTTTTCAAAAAAACCAAATGAACCACTGGCATTTGTTAATCAAGATTAGTATGACTCCGTTGGAAATAATTAAGCCCATCAGGAAAAATAAAGTATATTTAAAACAGAGTCTCCTTCTTCCCTACAGCTCCTCTGACCTAAAATAACAGCCTGTTGTAGTCAAAACCTATCATGAGGGGGTCAAGAACACATGGTTAGTATAATCCATTGTCTTCATTCTAGTCCCTTTGGAAAGCATTTGGTTCAGACATATATTTGGAACGTGGGGACAAGAAGGATGCCCTGTTTGAAATACTAACGGAGCAAAATAGTTTCTGCTGGGTATTGAGGGGGTAGGGGGGAGAGGGAGGGGGCGGAGGGGGTGGTAAGGGAGGGGGTGGGGGCAGGGGGGAGAAATGACCCAAGCCTTGTATGCACGTATGAGTAATAAAATAAAATAAAAAAAATACTAATGGAAAGCCCTTCATGAAGCAAGGTTAGCTTTGAATTACTATGAAGATGACAAAATTCTTTCTTTAAATCACAGACTGTTAATTTAAAAGATAATTACGATTCAATCTGATTTTCTTTGTTAAATGAAAATGACATTTCTCATGCCATGTAAAGGTCAAAGAAAATTAATGCTTTCGGAGGAAAATATTGAGAGGACTGCTGTATTTTTAAAAGCCCTGATTGAAAAGACCTTTGCAGACAAGCAGTGTTCTTGTTGTTGTTGTTGCTGGCTTTCCATGTGCTGGAGATGAAAAGGCAGTTGAGCCTACTTACTCCTCGGCCGTGGCACTGTGTGGCACACTGGTGAACTCCGAAGACACTGATATTCTGACATCGACGATTGAGGCAGATCTGTGGAAGGAGGGAGACACAAGGAAGGTCTCAGTCTTCTGCTTCCCTCCCCACGTGTGTGCATTAAAAAGGACAGTGTGGAGAGGCCCCGGTTTTTGTTAACACTGAGGCAGCACAATGATGTTCTGTTTGGCCAGACACGGGGCCTGTGGTCTGCCTCCAAACTGAGCACTTTTCAAGACTAAGACCAATGTGAACACTATTGAATTGTTTTATGCTCTATGGCATTTAAAATGGTTTCAGTCAATCCTGAAATTACGACTAATTTTCTCATATTTTTTTAAGTCCTGCTATGAAAACTATCTATTACAGCATTAATCTCCATTAAAAGACATAAAGAGGACATGATGGGTTAGTTCTTCCCCTGGGGTCTGGACAGACTCACAGACTCCAAGAATCTACAGCTCAAGAATTATCGAAGGGACATATTGAAATATGGGAACTTTTTCAAAATACTGACAAGTAGCCTTATCAGAGACATAACCCATCAGCAGACCTTGGCAGAGGCGTACAGGCTCCTCTGTGTTTACTCAGCCGCTGCAGAGGTAGGGCTTTGCTGGAGTTTGCCTCGTTTCAGAGGTGTATGATGTGCTCCAGGCTCTAGGGACCAGGCCCTTCTCTTCCACAAGTTGTTTCACTCAGTGGAGTGAGAGGAGGTTAGAATGCAGAAGGCTTTTAATCGAGTCGGTCCTTCATGTGGGAAGGTCACATCTCACTGACCCCAACAACTTATGTAAGCATGACGAATGCCCTTCCACGAAAGTGCTGCCGACCCAAGCAGCTGAGAGGTCGGTGGAATCCTGGCCAAGGGGACTGTCATGTTCCAGAGGGTAAGAACTGAACACATGTGACTCAGTCAGGACCACAGTGTATGGGTGTTACTCACCTCCTGAACCCATGGGCAAGGTCAAAGACCAGCCTCAGTACCATTTGATCCAGCAATCCCACTCCTGGGGATATACCCAAAAGACTGTGACTCAGGTGACTCCAGAGGCACCTGCACACCCATGTTTATTGCGGCACTATTCACAATAGCCAAGTTATGGAAACAGCCAAGATGCCCCACCACTGACGAACGGATTAAGAAAATGTGGTATCTATACACAATGGAATTCTATGCAGCCATGAAGAAGAACGAAATGTTATCATTCGCTGGTAAATGGATGGAATTGGAGAACATCATTTTGAGTGAGGTTAGCCTGGCCCCAAAGACCAAAAATCATATGTTCTCCCTCATATGCAGACATTAGATCAAGGGCAAACACAACAAGGGGATTGGACTTTGAGCACATGATAAAAGCGAGAGCACACAAGGGAGGGGTAAGGATAGGTAAGACACCTAAAAAACTAGCTAGCATTTGTTGCCCTCAACACAGAGAAACTAAAGCAGATACCTTAAAAGCAACTGAGGCCAACAGGAGAAGGGGACCAGGAACTAGAGAAAAGGTTAGATCAAAAAGAATTAACCTAGAAGGTAACACCCACGCACAGGAAATCAATGTGAGTCAATGCCCTGTATAGCTATCCTTATCTCAACCAGCAAAAACCCTTGGTCCTCCCTATTATTGCTTATACTCTCTCTACAACAAAATTAGGGATAAGGGCAAAATAGTTTCTGCTGGGTATTGAAAGGGTAGCGGGGAGAGGGAGGGGGCGGAGTGGGTGGTAAGGGAGGGGGTGGGAGCAGGGGGGAGAAATGACCCAAGCCTTGTATGCACATATGAATAATAAAACAATAAAAATTAAAAAAAAAAAAAAGACCAGCCTCAGTAAGGGAGTCCTTGGAATTTCACTGGTTGGAAGTGTCAGTCCTGGCTGTTCACATTACAGTTTAAAAATGGTGCTGTTGAAATGTCAAGACCTGAACACAAGCTAACGTGGTTGAGGAGTCATGTAGAATGTGGAACATGCTTTCTGTACTGTCCTGTGTCCTCAAGGGAAGAGCATCTGTGGCGGCTCAGGGTATAAGGAGGCTCAGAGGCAGGAGTGAAGGGAATTCCTGACTTTGGGATGCTGTAGGGAAAAGGATAGGTGTCTGTCCCTCCTCTGTTGTCACCTCGGCAACCTCTGTGATTTCACTATCATGCTGAAAATGGGTCCTAAAAAAAAGTTGGGAAATGAGTCATTTTTTTTCCTAAAACATTTTATTAATCTGCTAACATTTAGTCTGATGAAAATGTCTGGTGAAAGAAATGAGTGTGGCAGAACATGAAAATCTCAATTCTTTCTTTAAAAAATTTTGATTTTATTTTTAAATATCAGATTCTCTCAGTGTACCTTTCCCCATTTTCTAAAAGGACTCCACTTTGGCTTTTAGCTGATCTCTGCTCTCCCCTTTTCTTCCTCTTCTTTACGGGGTCTCTGAAAATACTTTTGACTTCTCATCTTGTCCAGGTGAGAACAAGCCCCCGAGAACTCTGAGCCAAAAATCAAGCCACATTTCCAAAAGCAATATGCTCTGCTGTTGCATTTCATTCCAAAGTAATTTCCTGGCTGGAAATGCTCACGACACTCAGGGTGTAGAGATGACTTATTAGCCCTCAAGCACCAAGAAGACAAGATGGATTCCCCAGATCTGCATCTCAACAGCCAGACTGGAACCTCAGCTTTATTGACTTTTTCTTCTAGGTGCAAAGAATTGGATTCCGGAGACCTCACTCTGAGAAGTGGATCTCAGAAAACCAACCAACCTCACACCCCAGGTCTTGCACGACCTGTCTCACATTTATGATGCAAGTGAGAATTTGGGTCTTACTTTTCCATCCGCACACTTTGTCCCTGCAAGCACAAGCCCTGGGTCCGGCATGTCATCGCCCAAGTACACATGGGTCCCTCGACACAAGATCCGACCTCCTTCCTGCAGTGGGATATTTGTTTCTATGGAAACGGCATTTGTACCGATGACTGGTCGGCTGGCACCTCCTTGACACTGGATTTTTCCGCACTTAGCATCTCTGGAAGGGTGAGAGGAAACGATCTCAAAAGAGGGGAGGTTTGGAAGCACCCCTGGGCCATGTGGGAAGATACAGTCATGACGTGGTCAGGACGTGCCAACACCATACCTCATCTCGCATTTGGCAAAGGAATTCTTGGAGTCTTTGCCACAGTTGCCGTAAGGGTCGCCTGCAGAGTTGACTCGTTCGAAGCAGATCCCGGGGGCAGGCTTAGCACCTGGAACAGAGACACGACGGCACCTTTACCTCAGGCAGTGGGTTGTGGAGCTAAGTCGAGATGGGTTCTGAGTTTAGAGAAGTCACACCCAGCCCCCAGCCGACTGGTGATGGGAGCTGGCCTGGGGGAGCCTGGAGTGTCAACACTCGCACTTCTCTTGGCCCAGCTCATGGCAAAGCCCATGTCTCATGGCTTGTGCTTGGAGGCCTACAGGTCCGTGGCTCACAGCATGTACGGCCCCTCAGGAGATGAGGGCTGGCTGTGTGGCCAGATCCAATCTGGAGCAGGAAGGAGTTGGCTGGCTGGCTGCAGAGAGAAGGGGAAGCTACTCTCTTTAGCAACATCCCACACAATTCCGGTGAGAAAATGCAAGCTAGGGAAGCCTGCATGGAGTCATGATGACGAATGTGGGGGAGTGATGAGAGAGAGAGAGAGAGAGAGAGAGAAGAGAGAGAGAGAGAGAGAGAGAAAGCTCAAATGAGCAGTGCAGAGACCTTGCACAATGCTTTCAGTCCCAGACAGTTCCAAGACAAAGTGCTGGCTTCAATTAATTCCTATTTTTGCAAGGCGAGATGGCTCTCAGAGGCCATGGAGCCATAAACCCCGAGAGTCGCTGTGCACAGCATGACAGTCCCCAGCAGAGAGGCTTATGGCAGCCCGAGAACTCAGAAAACAGTCATTTTGAAGCACATCTTCCAGTCAGGGAAAGACAAAGATATAATTGGGTTCTGCAGGGCCAAAGCTACAGTGGTCTCCTGAATCCTGGGCCTAGTGACATCTGTTAACAACCATGAGGACATCAGGAAGACATGGCATGTTCTTCAGAACAAACGGCACTATCCGTCCCACACTGGCATTGGCTTTGGGCACTTTCTTTCATGTGACTTCCGACTGGCAGGATGCAGCCTTCCAGATCTGCCCCGTGTCCTTTTGCTCCCAACTCCAGGGAGCCTCCATTTGCCTTCTACAGTGAGACCCAGTCTTAGATTCCAATCAGACGACAGGCAGCGTTTCCCTCCTCCTTCCTAAACACCCCCCTGTCTCTAGCTTGTGCCTGATTCCTCTCAGCAGCTACTAGCTGACAGGATCATGTCATTCAAAAGCAAAAGCAGACACAACCACCATCTCCTACTCTCACCCCAAGGAGGGTGGGCAGTGTGCCCGACCACCAGTCACACTGTCACTTTCCCATTAACAACTGCTTTAGACAGGCCTTCTCAAATTCCCTTCCGAGGGGCACTAGCCCCACCTCCATACAATTGCCTGTGGTGGAAAAGATAAGGTCTTTCGCTCGCCAGTGTCACCTTCCTTCTCTTCTACTGACTCACATTGTCTTTGCTCACTGTTGTACCTGTGACACCCTCAGCGGCCTAGAACGGACATGATTCTTCTGAGTTCTGCCCTCTAATTCCTTTTCACCTGTCTGTTGGAGAGTGAGGGGCTGGGAGAGTGATATTGGTATAGAACCTGTACTTTGTACTTAAATTAATCCTATTTGGTGGTACCTCTGATCAAAGTGCTGGATCCAAATGATCCATGCAGCTTGGAAACACTGGCACATGGAATAGGAGCAATGCAGCCGCTGTTTGTGACTTTGCAGGGACCCTGTGTATTTGTGGCTTGCCTGTCAGTTCTGCTCCCTTCCAACAATCCATCCTTGTTTCTTTCTCTTCTTCCCTCCCTCCCTCCCTCTCTTCCCCTTTCTTCCTTCCTCCCTTCCTTCCTCCCTTCCTCCCTCCCTCCCTCCTTCCTTCCTTTTCTTCCTTCCTCCCTTCCTTCTTCCTTCTTTTCTTCCTTCCTCCCTTCCTTCTTCCTTCTTTTCTTCCTTCCTCCCTTCCTTCTTCCTTCTTTTCTTCCTTCCTCCCTGCCCCCTTCCTTCTTTTCTTCCTTCCTCCCTCCCTTCCTCCTTGCCTCACTCCTTCCTCCCTCCCTCACTTCTCCCTTTCTTCCTTCCTCCTCCCTCCCTTCTTCCCTACCTCCCTCCTTCCTTTCTTCCTTCCTCCCTCTCTGCCTCCTTCCCTCCTTTCATTCAGTTGGGACTTTAACCATGCACATGGATTTATTCAGCACTTAATGATCTGCCAGTTACCCAATTGCGCAAAACAGCTTGCTTGAAAATTGCAATGAGAAAGAGAAAACAAACAAATGAATATATTCTTCTGAAGTCAAGTGGCGGGTAGTGCTATGAAGGACAAAGGCAGAATAAAGGGGTCCTGGACTGTTTTTTCTTTTTTGGTGGTACCAGAGTTTGAACTCAGGGCCTTGTATTTGCTAGACAGGTGCTCTGCCATCTGAGCCATGCCCGTCTTTTTCTGTTGCTGTTGCTGCTTTTGTTATTTCTTGGACAGGATCTCACCTTTTCCCCAGGGCTGGCCTGGACCACAATCCTCCTTCCTACGCCTCCCACATAGCTGAGATGACAGGCACGTACCACCATGCTCAACTTATTTGTTGAGATGGGGGGGTCTCACTAACTTTTTGCCTGGGCTGGCCTTGAACCATGATCCTCCTGATCTTCACCTCCTTAGTAACTAGAATTATAGGCCTGTACCACTGCACCAGGCTTAAGGGCTATTGTTTTTTAAGGCAGCCTGCTCAGGGAAAACCTACTACAAAAGAGGCACCCCTTAGGACTGCCAGAGATCTTACAAGGAAGGTCTCATTCCATCTCACACACAAACCCAGGAGCTAAGAGGTTATATATATAGCTGTCCAGGGCAGGATTGTCTGAGGGAAGCTGAGCTGTCCCTCCTGCTCCCCGGGCCTGGTTATGGTGGCCTTTCCCTGATGCCCTGGGCTGGTTTTAGGGGTAGAAAGACAATAAATCCCATCCCATAGCCCAAAGGACTCTAGATTCAGTGACGTGTGCTGCCACCCGCTGAACAGCTGATAAAATGAGGCAGGAGGAGGCTTCATTTATTTTTTCCCTACTTCAAGTGACCAGGACAATGGAGTGCCAGAAGGTTCTAGTGGACACCAAGCTCCTGGGACAGGGCGGGCAGAGCTGGTGCCACTGTGCCACTGAACACAATGCTATTTGGATATCGCACAGATTTAGTCACCTTACTATTATAAAGGGATTTCTCTTCTGGAACCCATGAGAGAGACAGGCCTCAGTGAAAACTGTGAATGAACGACACCCTGGGGCACGAGGAGGAAGAAAGACACACTTGCTGGGCACTGGTGGCTCACGCCTGTAATCCTAGCTACTCAGGAGGCAGAGATCAGGAGGATCGATGTTTGAAGCCAGCCCAGGCAAATAGTCACAAGACCCTATCTCAAAAAAACCCATCACAAAAATAGAACTGGTGGAGTGACTCAAGATGTAGGCCCTGAGTTCAAATCCCAGAACTGCAAAAAAAAAAAAAAAAGACACCCCCATCCTACACATGCTTCACAGGATGGTATCTGTTGAGGACTCTGAGGACATCAGCAAATGTAGCAAACCAAAACTGAAACCTTAGCTCAGGGACTTCCCTGCACCGTCTCTTCCTTGCTGCTCCCAACACTGGAGCCTCCTTCAGGCTCCATGTCCTGGCTTGTTCTGGGTGCCCTTCCTGCTGGCTCCTGGCTGGGCTTCCAGAACTTGCTATAACTTAGTAGACACCAAGTGAAATTTAGAAAAAGACCACAGGGGACCTTCAGTAAAGACACCGGAGTTGACTCCTCTTTATTCCACAGGGAATAAAGATCATCTCCCCTGTCATTTCCTCTTCTCGTCCTTAGTAAACCTAACACGCTTTTCATGACTGTTGCATTTTAGATCACTCATAAGCCATCTGTCGCTCACCCCCACTACTAGGTAGGAGACTGGGTACACCATGTGATAGCTTTCATTCTTGTGACCACTAGCAAGGTCTACATGCCCCATTTCCCAGATTTGAACACTAAGGCTCAGTTTCAGCATCTTAGAGATCACAGGTGCAAGCTTGGGCTTGACTCATGGATTTAAAGCTGATCCATGATCAGCCAGGATCCTGTGCTGTCTCCCTCTTCTCTGCTATTCCTTCCTCTTCAGGACACCAAGGCATGCCTGTAATCCACCTGTTCCTGGACTTGACTCCATCTCCACCAAATCCCTTTCAAAGAACTGGACAGGCTGAAACACAACACCAGCTGCTCTCTCCATCTCAGGCATTGAATTATAGTGGGGGACACCCTCCCTTGAGTCTGAGCATTTCCCTCAGAGCAGGGAGGTGCTGGGGAAAGGCAGTGCAGGTCTATGACCCTCTCGTTGCATCTCTCTCTATTCTGGAAAAGAAATGAAAAATCCCAAATAAGATGACTTGGATACTTTTGAGAGAGAAGTCAGTTCCTAAGTAACAAATTCCCTCTGCTCTGGGGTTAATTTGTCTAGTGGCTTGAACAATGCAGATTTCTAAAGGTTAACTTTCTGTCCCCCAGGAAAATGATAATGGTCTCTTTCCAAGACATACATATTTGAGCCTTCACCTAATCTGTGAGGGAGCAGGAGCCAGCAGGTCCCACTGTTGACCTATGTATGGCCAAGACATTGGTATCAATGGGACACAGCAATGACCTGGCTCACTGTGGTGTGACAAACAAACAACCAACCCAAAAAACCAATCTGGAAATCTGGATGAAAGTCAGGTCATGATTTCGTTGACAGGATAGAGTTACATCTGTCTCTGACCAGAATTGCACCCTGGCCCCCTATCATTTCCTTTCCTGCATTCCTGTCTCTGGAGGATGAAAGGAAAGATACAGCCATGGTAACTCATGACCTTGCTGGACAGGGTTCTTTGCTTTCTCCACCCTCAAGCATGTCGGAACTGGCGAGGTTTACCAACCCCTGCAGATTCTGTGGTTTTCACTGGGTGGTGAGGGGGACAGGGAGGTGGGAGAAGGACTTGGCAGAGCCCTGTGTGCAATGCTGGTTCTCTTCCATTCGGCTGGTGTTTCCTACGCTGGCATTTCCAGAAGCCCCCAAGAGAAACATGGAGATTTAAAGGCCAAGGTGTCTAAAATGAACCAAACTT